ACCTTTTCAGAGGTCATTCTTGCATAAAATAGAGAAATTAGTTCCGGATGGATGACTTTTTTGAAGGATTTTGAAGCGAATTTAGTGAGTTAAACAAACCGAAGCTTGCCCACGAAAGAAGAGGATGTCAGTACGCATGCGTATGAATTAATTAAAATCGTGGGTTCCAAGCCGTCGCGCGCCGCGAACTGCACCAGTATTGTGAGTATCAGTCGGAGAAGGAGTGAAGGAGAATTGTTTATGTAGCGAATAGTGAAGTTGAAAATATTTTTTGGTAGTTTGGATTGACAGGTTGGCCAAATCGAATTTACTTGGGGTAGGGAGGGGAAAAGTTTATTAAAATTTTCACATCGCAGTCCGGGGACTGAATTACGTGTCAATTACAAGGTAATTTAAATCTTACTTCTACTAACTATTATGCATGCAATACTAACACATTAGAATATCGAATATCGATATTTATGAATTATATTAAGAATATGAATTATATTAAAAATATCTACTACAAAAATTTTTAGAGTCTTATCGTTGAACTTTTGAAGTGTAATAGTTAATAAAACTGTCTTTAAAACGATTCGTCTTCAAAACCGGCAAGTCATATTTTGAAGTGGACCTAAGATTTATATTATTTGAATTTAGTGGTGGTAGTATATCCGCTAATTTATGGTTATTGTTAATCGATACTGAGTTAAAAAGTTCTCTGCATAGTCTGTCTCGTCGATCCACAAAGGATTGTAGGCCTGTTAATTTTAACGCGTCACCATAACGTTCCTCTGGGTAGAGCATGGGAAGAGTTCGTTTCTGTATTCTTTCAATTTGATTAGACAAATACTCTGGCAAATTGCTATGAAATGTCTGGCAGGCATATTCTAGAGTTGATTGGATGCACGTACAGTAGAATTGCACTAAAGAATTTACGTCCACACCTGCTCTTTTTAATATTCTTAGAAGATATAGCCGCTTTGATGCCTTATGGGTAATCTCGGTTACATGATCATTCCATTTAAGATCTTCCCTAATAGTTACACCAAGAATTTTTGCAGATTGCACGACTTCAAAAGCTAGGTCGTTGACAGTTATTGGGTCGTCTATATATCGATGTCTAGTAAAGTCAATGCGGAGCTCTTTACATTTCAGAGAATTTAACTGAAAATTATTTTCGTTCGACCAGCAATTTATCTGATCCACCTGTACCTGTAGTCTACTTGATCCGGTTTTTGGGATAATTTCGGAAACTGTAGTGTCGTCTGCAAATTTCCACAAATCAGAGGAGTTACCAGGTATCGCTAAATCATTTATCATCGCTAAAAATAGCCAAGCTGCCAAGGACCAATCTTAGTACCTTCCTAATTCCTAATCGGAATTCCAGCTGGAAATATTTCGGAATTTGAAAAGCAATCCGAATTAAGCTTTAGACGCTGTGATTTCCCACGCAGAAAGTCAGCAATCCAATTTACAACTGTCGGTTTGACTCCAAGGCCAGGAACTCTAGACACTGGGATGGGACTTGGGAGCATATCTCCTGTTTGATGAGAAATCCCAGACGTTGTAGTAGATTGACAACTCTCCGAAGAATTGACGAGTCTTTCTGGGCTTTGGTCCAGAATAAGCATATCGTCCAGATATATTATCCGTATTCCTTGTGTTCGTAGCAATACTATGACCGGTTTCAATAGTTTTGTAGATGTCCTGGGCGCACTGGATAGCCCGAATGCTAGGCATTGGAACTCGTATGTTATTCCTTGGAATACAAACCTCAGATATTTCTTGTGACTGTTGCGAATCGGTACGGAAAAATAGGCGTCTTGGAGATCTAACTTCATCATGAAGTCGCCTGGTTGGATCAGTTTGCGTACTGCTTCCAGACCTTCCATCTTGAACTTCTGAGATTGGACAAAGCGATTGAGATTCTTTAAATTGAAAATTGGCCTGTCCTTGGACACTTGTTTCAATATGAACAGTGTTGAAGTGAATTGGTTTGACTCCTCCTGTACATCTTTTACTGCACCTTTCGCTTGGAGTTGTATATGGCTTCTTTTATAGAAGCCAAGTCCTCTTTCGACTTTGCTTTTGTTTGTCTCTGTCTCTACTGTATGGGTTGACGAACAAAGGGAATTTTGTACCCTTGAACTATGGATAGAATCCAGGGATTTGTTGTAATTAGTGTCCAGTTTGAATAAAATTGTTTGATGCGGCCTGCTTCAAGATTGTCTGTTGGTTTGATGTCTTTTAGTGTTGGTAGCTGATAGCCAGCTGCGTTTTGCCTGGTTTACACGTTTTGCCCAATAAGGTTTGTTGTTGTTTGGATTCTTTCTGAATGAGTTGTTATGTTGCGGTCGGGTAAAACTAGATCGTTGGAAGGATTGGTCACGAAAGGGCTGGTCACGAAAGGACTTGTTGGTTTGAAAACGCCCTCTGGGGGAGAAAAACCTTTGATGTTTGGTTGATTGTGCCACTAATTTACGATTGGTATTTGCATGATCATGTTCCTCTTTAATTACATTATGAAATTGCTCGGGGAACAAGTACTTGTCAGCTGGAATTTGGTCTTTCAGGGTACGCTTACCCACATCCGTTAAGTTTCTGCTAAACGTTTTTGGCGCCAAATGTTTAGACGACAATGTGCATTTCCCAGTAGCACAATAGCATGGTCAGGATCAGGGCCTGAGGGCTCATCCCCATCTACATCCACTTCTGTCGGCTCCAATGCTTGTAGAGCACTGACAAGTGGTCGAACAACGGAAATAAAGGGTGCTTGTTTGTCAGCTAGTCCTTCATCAAATGTGAACAAATCTTTTGTTTGGGACAGACCATGGACACGTTTGATTTTCTCTTTCATCTCTGTTTGCATTATGGGCGAAACTAGGAAATCAGCAGTTCCTTTAATGTCAGGGTATTGTTCCATGGCATTTGTCCAAACTTCTTTGGACAGTTGCTTGGTAAATGCAGATTTGATAAATGAAGTTAATTCTTCAGAAATGGTAGCTTCTGGTGCTGGTGTATAATACTTGTCGGAACGACTAGAACCGACAAAAGCTGGTGGTGCGTCACTATCAACTACTTTGGTTCTTTTAGGTTGTGAGTGTTCCACAGCGATATTTTTTGGAGAACCATTAGGCTCTGGTGTCATAAAAGCATTTCTTAAACAAAGTGACTATATGACCGGCAGCCGGTCGCGGTTTATCAAATACTAAATGGCCGGCAGTCTAGTGACTATAGTTGAATATAAAAACTTTTGTTTGCGTTCACTTCTGCCGAGCTTGCCGTTAGCTCATACGGCAAGGGCGCTGCGTGCGGAAAGTTAAGCGCAGTCGGGGTCGGGATGTGTTTTGTCTGACTTAGCATTGTTTTTTCTTAAAATTTTTTAAACTTTTTTTTCCGACTTTTCTAACTCTCAAAAGGTTGGGGTTAGGGGTTAGGGTTAGAAAAAAAGGGTTTGGGGTTGGGATAGGTTTATCTTATAAAAATTCAACTTTAACTATAGTCACCAGACTGCCGGCCATTTAGTATTTGATAAACCGTGACCGGCTGCCGGTCATATAGTCACTTCGTTTCTTAAAATGTCTGATACAGTCCTTTTTAATGTCTCTGTGAATTTGTCCTCGATCAGAGAACTTAGTTGATCTCTTGACACTGGAACAGGTGTCGCTGATGCATCATCGGAGCGGGTACCCTCAATGAGCATATTGTCTCGTTCCTGCGAGATGGGTACCCGCAGGAAACCTGGTCATTTTTAAAACATTGTATAGCTAGATAATAGATCAAATATTTCTGTACAGTATATACTATATACTATCGAATTTTCCATACGTACGTATTCGTCGAGCGGGTACTCTAGACAATGCATTTATCTACCTGCGAGATGGGTATCTGCAGGAGATATACTCAAAAAATAAAGCCCAGACTTGACAAAATAATCAAAATATTCCATCAGGCGACGTATAACCATAGTACCTTAAATTATTCGATCTAAAACTTTTTTTAAATATAAATACAGCTTGCGATATTCAGCACTTACTTTCAGAGGTCATTCTTGCATAAAAATAGAGAAATTTGTTCCGGATGGATGACTTTTTTGAAGGATTTTGAAGCGAATATAGTGAGTTAAACAAACCGAACCTTGCCCACGAAAGAAGAGGATGTCAGTACGCATGCGCATGAATTAATTAACATCGTGGGTTCCAAGCCGTCGCGTGCCGCGAACTGCCCCAGTATTGCCAGTATCAGTCGGAGAAGGAGTGGAGAAATTCATCCCGCTTACCGGGCTGTCTCGCTAAGCGGGCCAGCCCGGCTTCCATATAAACAGGCCCTTATCTAAGTTTATTCATAAATTTGCCCGACTAACCAATGGTAATGTTTTAGGAAAGTTACATATTCGTGACTCAAACAACAGGGTAAATTGGAAATTGTTATTGGTGGATTTGGCAAAAATACAGTACACACGTGACGGTAACATACATAATGAGTTATATTGTTATTCTGATGAGTTTCCAAACCATCTATTCTATTAACTATGGTGTAACGTGTGCGTAACATGTCAGCGTTTGCTTAATGAAGCCAAGTGCATAACATTTACATGATCTAATCACTTTAGATTAGTTAGTGAACATCCCACAAGCACACCAGCATATACTGTAGTATAAATTCGTCATATGGCTAAGTTGAGGAACTGTCATATAATGACTCCTCGGGAAATGATGGCTAATTGAGCTTGAAAGGACATAAGAGTAGTTAAAACACTAAATTAGATTTTAATGGCTTATTGGAACTGACTCTTACTATATCGCAAAGTATTCTAATAGATCGTATTTAGCCTACAGCCTGTCTATCTTCCCAAAGATTTTTCTCTAGTAAGTAAATGATAGTAAAAAAAATATTCTTTATTCTTGCCCAGTCCCCCGCGCATCCTCCTTGCAGAATTTCTACATTTCGGTGCAAAAACTTTCGGTTAAGTGATTGAAATAATTATGTCAATTTCACCATATCAACTTGATCGCTAGAGTTTGGCAAAATTTCAAATTTTGGACAGCTAACCCCCAGACAGCTCCGTCTCAGACAATCGCGTGCAAAAATAATGAGACTTTTCATATTTGGCCATTTTACAGTACGTTGTCTCCCCACTCCTGCCCCCATGATCAATGTTGGAAAAAGTGGGTTAAATTTTCACACAACATTGAATTGGGGGTGAGGGTGTCATTTATGCGGTTGTCTCAATAATTTTTGCTCCTGATTGTAGCCGTCCCTAGGCCATATACCCTAGGCATGTTCGCAGATCACGAAGTCTTCGTGGAATCTCTCGGAGCTACCAATGACTTGCTAGAAAATGAATGAAATTTACTTGATGTCTTTCTTGCAAGCTGACAGAGCTAACAAAATAGCTGTGTCGGACAAATGGCATTGGTACGTCAAAACAAATACACACATATCAGCGCGCAATAGGTAATAAACATGCATTCGCTCGCGTACGATTGTTGCATGAGTTAAAATTGAAATTATCTGTATTTCTTGTCTACAGATGGCTAATAAACTGGACGACCGTCCTTACCTTGTGCTTTTTCCTGTATTGGTTTATCCATTTAAAACTTCTTCTGTGATCACAGAAACTTTGGTAGTGTAAACCGGGCTTTATATAGTCTGATGATGATTTTATAAACTCCAAACACTGTGTCTGTGATATTTTGGGTAATCGTTCCATGTTTCGCGCACCAATATAGTAAACGTTATGTAATGGATATTATAGTGTACTGAAAAGTTAACTGGATACCTCCATATATACACGTATATACATACCCTAACCCTAACCCTATCCCTAACCTTAAACCTAACCCTAACCCCTAATCCTAACCTAACCCTAATACCTAACCCCTAACCCTAACTTATATTGGTGCGCGAAACATGGAACGATAACCATATTTTGGCTACCTCTTTCGGAAAAAAACAATGGCCTATACAACACACGATCAGTGAAAAATTTTTGACAATAATTTCCATAATTTTACACAATACTGTTAAAGTCATTAAAATTCCTTCAAAACTGTTTTTATTTATTTTGATGCCCTTTTGAGTTTTGTGAAAAGCGCGAGCATTTTCTACATGGGGTCATGGTCATTAGGAGGCTGATGGTGAACAGATGAAATTAGTAACAGTTATCACCTGCAGTAACGTAGCCAGCCCGACGATTTAATTAGTTCCGCTATGCAAATATTTTCGTATTCATTGACTGTGGAAACAATCAATTTGTAAAGAAATGAATAATGATAATAATTTTAAATGAGACTAAGTTGTCGGGTTCGCAGGGCCGCCCAGAGGTTGGCGGGGGCCCGGGGCAAATTTTTTTTTAGGGGCCCCTATTTTTGGCCCCGCCAAAAAATTTTCGGTCAGTGTACCATTTTAGGGGTAAAACATTTTTTTCGGAGTACAAAATTTTTCCGGACGAGTACGTTGCAATTGCTTTCCAGGGACTTTATCTCATTTTTCTATACCAAAATTCGGTATTTTCTCCTTTGCGCGGAAATATTTAACACACAAAAAAGGCTGGGGCCCAACAAATTTTTTTCAGGGGCTCCCAGCAACTCGGGCCCCGGAGCAATTTGCCTCCTTTGCCCCCCCTCCCTCTGGGCGGCCCTGCGGGTTCGTTACGCCACTGTTCACCTGTGCAAGACAGCTAGAGCCAAGAACGACGCTCCTTTACATGCAGATCAAGATTATTAGGCAAGAATTATATCGGGAAAAAATGTCACAAGGTCATTTGAGGTAGGGGTTAATCATTTTATATTTTTATATGGAAAAGTTGATTGATGCATTTCATTATTTATATTTATTATAAATATTCTAAGGTTTCAGCGTACTTGCATGGGATAATGTAAAATTCTTGTAATCGCATGTAGGGCCTATACTTTAAGTTAGTTGATCGTTCGGTGCATTCTGGCAAAGCAGAACATCTCTTAAACAAAACTTTGAACAATAGTTTGAAAAATATTTCAGTGGAACATGTTTTTTTAATTTCATCAAATTCAAAATTTATTATAATTTTTTGATAATCACCTGTCTAAAACTAATTTGGGTTAGATTATTCCTGTTTTAACTTTCCTCCCTTGAGATCCAGTGTAAACCTCACTGGTTATATGGAGATACAGTAAACGCCACTATTTTGTTGGGTTACCATTACTACAAAAGCATATCTAAACTAGAGTAAACTAAGTAATAATTCCACGTTTAGCAATAATGCTGCTGAGCATCTTAGTCAAGAACCCACAAGCATGCCACCTGCAATCTCTACGATGGAATATCTAAAATTCTTGGTCATTTTCTGCAGGGAACATATAAAGCATTAGACAGTAAAATAAGCGTCACAAATTTCAATTATATATCAACAACAGTTATTGTGACGCCAAATGCTTGGTTACGAATGTAAAAAATCCTAAAACAACGACGAACATTAAAGGATTAGTGTCAGGGTCATGCATTGTGGGCTTTTGTTATTGTTTACATTTTACTCAAATACAACAAAGAGCGATAAAAATACCTTGTTTGTTGCATTTCTGATAAAAATCACACAAAAAGAGCAAAGATTAGAAAAGGATGATTTAAATATATGACAGATTGTAAAAACTTTCCAGATCATCTATCTATTCGTCCCGAAAAATGGCCGCCAGCAGGAGTTTGAGCCCGCGAATTCCTGGTGTGACACTAATCCTTTAAATTCAACACTTTACACAGACAGTTTACAGGTAGGCAGGCAGGTACAGGCAGGTTGAAAAGGCAATGAAACCGTTTTGAACCTCAACTGAAAGCGAAAATTATAGGAAAAGAAAAAACGCAGTAAAACTTTATTATATATACATTACGTTGTATTCGTCTATCCCCGCAGCAAGCGAAGGCTTGCCAGGAAATTGATAAAATTTGACTTTGATATCTATTTTGCATGCTGACAGAACAAAGAGAACAGTTGTCCCGGACATATGGCGTTGACACATCAGCGTCAAAATGTAATATTATTGCCCCCCCCCCCGAACTTTATTGAATTTACAGTGCATGGTTTGCATTTTACAAGAGTTTAGAACATGTTTACCCGAAACCAAGTTGCACGCACTCGTTCCTGATAGACGTGGGAACTTAGTCAATTATATA